CTTGAGCCCAGGAGTTGGAGGTTGCTATGAGCTCCTGGGCTCTGCCCAGGGTGACAGCTTGAGGCTCTGTCTCAAAAAAAAAAAAAAAAAAAAAGGTCACTTCAGGGCATCGCCTGTGGCTCAGTGAGTAGGGCACCAGCCCCATAAACTGAGGGTAGCTGGTTCGAATCCAGCCCCATCCAAACTGCAACAAAAAAGTAGCCAGGCATTTTGGTGAGCATCTATAGCCCCAGGTACTCCAGAGGCTGAGGCAAGAGAATTGCCTAAGCCCAAGAGCTGAAGGTTGCTGTGAGCTGTGACGCCAGGAGGGTGACAAAGTGAGACTCTGTCCCTTAAAAAAATATATCACTTCAAAACAGTTTGGGGATCTTGTCCTTATGAGATTTTTATTTTTTTGTTCTTTGGCTGAAAAATATGAGTACAGCAAAAGACAAAATATGTGAATATTTTTCACATTATTGGGTATACAATTGAGTTGCATCATGCTTATGTTTAATTAGTCATTCTTATACATGTGACAAAAATTGGATGGGGGCATAATTTCAATAGACCAATGATTTTAAACCAGGCTACATTTTGCTCCCCAAAGGACATGTGGCAAGGTCTGGAGACATTTTTGATTGTCATTACTTGTGGGAGAGGGTATCAATTTAGTGGGTGGAGGCCAGGGATATTGCCCATCGTCCTTCAATGCACAGGACAATTGCCACAGCAAAAAAATGATATCCAGCCCAAAATGTAATACAGGCAGTCCCCAAGTTACAAACATGTGACTGACACATGACTTGCACTTACAGAAAATAGGTAGATGTACCTGTTCCAACTTACATACAAATTCAGTTTAAGAACAAACCTACAGAACCTGTCTTGTTCATAACCTGGGGACTGCCTATAGAACTAAAGTTGAAAAACCCTGAGCTTAATTAACCCTACTAATGAAACCCCTTGAAAACCCTACTAATGAAAACATGCTCCCCAGTGAACATGAGTTGGATGACAAGTATTTCTTCTGTTTTTCAGGCATATTCACATTTTTTGTAGTGTGATTACCTAACCGTTTTGTGTGATTCTAGTGTTTATGGTGATTTTGGTTTGTTATTATCATGTAAGGCAAGTCATCTAGGTGAATAGTTTAATGGATTTCTTAGGAAATACTAACTATGTACATTAATTTTACATTGCTAATTTATGCCTTATTGTTAGGAGTCTAAACCTTGGGTAAATTGTGACTCTGCTTTTGTGCTAAGGTAGGGAAAAACTTAGGTTGATGTGGTGCCTGCAGTGATTATAGTGTTTCCCTTTCCTTTCTTCACCCCCTTGGAATTTTTATTAGGGGCTTACTCTGGAGATAGAAAGGGATCAAGATCGGTGGTGACAGAAAACCTAAGCAGGTTTATACTCTATTTGGGAGGAAAGAATTTTTTTAAAAAAGCAATACAAGGAAGCTTATGCTGAGTACTTGGCAGGCACTAAGTGCAGTAGGATTGGAGAAAGCAGTTATGAAGAACAGTGAGGCAAGGAAAACCTTACAGAGGAGTTGTGAATCCAGCTAGCTTCCACACTTGGACAAAGGCTTAAACATTGTAGGAAGATGTTTTAATAACTAAAAATTATTATCATGTCACGAATGGGAATTTTGTATTATACTATGAATTTCTCAAATGTAAGATGGAAACTTGCATTGAAATCACATTTTTCCCTTGCAGTCTCATACCATTTTGCTGGTACAGCCTACTAAGAGGCCAGAAGGCAGAACTTACGCTGACTATGAATCTGTGAATGAGTGCATGGAAGGTGAGTTTAACACTGACCAAAGGGTAGAAATCATTGAAATATTTTTTTCCCCTCACATTCACTTTTTAAAATTTCTCACTGAGGAACTGGGTTTGCTTTTTTGAATTGTTAATTTGAGCAGGGAAAGTAGATATTTCAGACAGGCCGTATTTGTTGAATATTTCAAACATTAATATATACTGTCCTCTTTGCTACACATGTTACTTTTTCTTTTAAAATTTTATTTATTTTTTAGAGAAAGGGTATCACCCGTGATGGAGTACAGTAGCACTACTATTATTTATTTATTTTTTGAGACAGAGTCTCAAAAGAGTGCTATGGCATCATAGCTCACAGAAACCTCAGACTCCTGAGGCTTTCTTGCCTCAGCCTCCCAAATAGCTGGGATTACAAATGGCTGCCACAACACCTACCTATTTTTAGAGATGGGGTCTTATTCTGGCTCAAGTTGGTCTCAAACTCCTGAGCTCAGGCAATCCGACCACCTTGGCCTCCCAGAGTGCTGGGATTATAGGCATGAGCCCCTCGCCTGGCCTCAGCTAATTTTTTTAATGTTTTGTAGAGACAGGGTTTTGCTATGTTATCTAGGTCTCCTGACCACCCCAAGCAAGCCTCCCAAAGTGGTGAGATTGTAGGTATGAGCCACCACACCTAGCATACTTTTACTTTTTTTAATTAAACTTGTGTATATAAAAATGACTTTGCAGAGTTCCTTATTTTATAAATCTTCCATTATATGTTTTATTTTTTATATGTTATTTTGTTATATTAGTGAATCTTTTAAGGCAGACTCTGGAGATTCCTTTCGAACCTAATAGTTTGCTTAATAAATAAACATTACAGCTGTTGAAATGTTATATCGTATAAAACTATTGTTAGAAAATAAAATAAGCTCAGAAAATAGAGGCAAATGGAACCAAATCAATATAATTTATTGTGCATTTGATAAGCTGACACCACCCTAAAGGGAACTGTTAGCTTTTAATATTTATTCAGTAAACGATTAGATGAGAGCACATAGATGGATGTTCACAGATTATGTTTAATCATTACATCAAATAAACAACTTGTACACACCCAACATCCTTCCTAGAAAACTGTTCATTCTTCACTTCTTCCTATAAAGATTTTTATAGTAACTATTTTTACCACGGGGCATTTCTCTGAATCTGTTGATGATTCAGAACTAACTGCATTAGACTTAAAACCTATATAAAGCCAACAATGAGTAGACCTGTGAATAAAAACTACTTGTAATAAATAGAGATAGCTGGCTCAGCGCCTGTGGCTCAAGTAGCTAAGGCGCCAGCCACATACACCCAAGGTGGTGGGTTCGAATCCAGCCCAGGCCCACCAAACAACAATGATGGCTGCAACCAAAAAATAGCCGGGTGCTGTGGCAGGTGCCTGTGGTCCCAGCTACTTGGGAGGCTGAGGCAGGAGACTCGTTTGAGCCCAGGAGTTGGAGGTTGCTGTGAGCTGTGATGCCATGGCACTCTACCCAGGGGGATAGCTTGAGGCTTTGT